CTCAGTAAATGAACTTACGAGTTGCCATGGTATTTACAGTTTGTTATTGTTTCGTCCTTATTTGATGATTAACCAGCGTTCAAACTCAATTATCTTTGGAATTTGTCTATATGTTCTTGTGCTAGTGGATAGTAATGAATGGAGGAATGTTACCATGTTCAGCATGATAAACCACCGTATTCATGATGGTTTTGGCATAGACTTTTTATCTTCTGAGATTTTGTATCATCATTACCTCTGCAATCAACGGGTATGAGATATTGATAGTTTACTAAAAAGCCTTTACACTGCTCCCCAATATCGTTGATTTCTAAGCAATTAATTCTAGCATTGTGGTTGCAGATTGTTAATATACATGTTTAGTATCCAATTCACAAATATATGGAAGGCTTTAAGACGAAGAGACATACCGAAGATGCTGCATAATAGGTAGTGTTGACCTATGACCATGAGATTTAAACTATGCCATTGGAAGTCAGAGTCGACTCTACCTAACTTCCAAAAAGACTTAGGCCGACAGTTGATGGAAACCAAAATTCGATAAAGGAGAAGTGAGATGATTGTATGAAAGTCTTTTTGAGATTGATGAAATCTCTCTACATTGCAATTGCCAAAGAATGTACTCAGTATAATCATGGCCTGTAATGATCTGTTTCCCATTATCCATACATAGCCAGTTCTAGACCGAAACCAGAACTTGTGTATTATTTCAATCTCTAAAAGAATCACGAGGTATGGTGAGAATTGATATTCCTGTCTTTCCATCTTACTATCACAGTTTTTGGTATATTTCCACTCCACAGGATAAGGCTCAAATATGCTCTTATGTAACGTTAACCATTGCACTGCTTTCTGAAAAGCACATATATCGTAATCGGATAAAATCAACTCTATTAATCTAACGCACCCCCAAAATTGTGAGTAACCTCCACCACGTATCAGCCCCAGCTTCACTCAAGTTCCGGAAAGTACCGACTGAAAGTTGCTGCTGTAACTCAATTCCAAACACCCACCCCTTCTATGGTCGCGTAAAGATGACCGTTATTTCTGCGTTGGTGACTCTTTTACAATCATTGGACCAAATGTCGATCCAGGTTTCAAATCTGTCTCGAATGTCAGCAAAAGTTTTAGACACCCGACTGCTGACAAGTGAAAGCAATACATAGCTTTTGGTGTAGTGTATTAAAGAAATTGAGAACTAAAATCGTGCTCAACTGCTATTATCTACAGACTTAAAATTTTGATATACTGACTGGTTTGATGCCGAAGTTCTTCCTTGTCGTTGAATGATTCTCGTACGTATTATACTCCCCAAAGGTACATGGTCTTATCATCTTTGTAAAAACAGTATTCAATTTTTTTTGACTCGGGTTACAC